ATTAAAGGCCTGGAGACTAAAACATATGAAGAACAGTTGCAGGATTTGGGAATGGCCGGTCTAGAGAAAAGAAGGACTGGGCGCAACATGATAGCAATATTCCAGTATTTGAGAGGCTGCCACAAAGAAGAGGGGGTCAAATCTCCACAGCACCAGAAGGTAGGACAAGAAACAATGATTGGAAACTGATCAAAGAAAGAAGTGTGGAGAAGAAAGAGACCCTCCTTGGGGATTCTTCCAGACGCAAAGATCAGTGCTTTGTAGAAATAATTGAATTGAAGCAGAGCTGCCGGAAAGAAGTTTTTTAATGGCAAGAAACTAAGATGAGTGACATTTAGCAAAGTTTCTTGGCTAGCTAGAAAGAGTATTCTCCAAATGTGTGTCTTTATACCTTTCTAGGGTTTTCATAATTGTCAATTTTGATTCGTTGAATTTCTGAGTTTTCAAACTGTCATTCCTGATTTGTGGAGCAGTGTCTACTGATGGGCTAGTTTCTTTATCCAATCTTGTTTAGGAAAATGGTTGAAAGTTAATCCCTGTCTCAGGAAAGAATCTGATATGTTTCATTAATTTTATGTATTTTTCTGTGTTTCTGTTCTAATCCTGTCAGTTTTAATTGCCGGTAGCTAGTCCTGCATTCCTGGGGTTAAGCTTATCTTCAATGTTTGTTCAAGTTGATACTTTGTAGCTGTTTGTTTGCACTTGGGTTCATCTGAGGCTGTGGGTTCTGAAAATGAGCTAGACAGGGTGTTTGTTTTAATTTAAAAAGGACTTGTGATTTAAGTAATAAGTAATTAAGTAATTTTTTTTAGGGGGAGGGCTTATTTCTACTTTGGAAATATTTAAACTGTTGTGATTAAATTTTCTTCCTGCCTCCATATTTCTTTCTCTATATGAGGAGGGGGGGGGTCTTCCTTCAGAAGCAACCTGGAATTAAGGAGAAACTTCCTAACAGTGAGGACAATTAACCAGTGGAACAGCTTGCCTTCAGACATTGTGGATGCTTCATCACTTGAGGTTTTTAAGAAAAGAGTTTCAGCCACTTGTCTGAAATTGTATAGGGTCTCCTGCTTGAGCAAGGGGCTGGACTAGAAGGCCTCCAAGGTCCCTTCCAGCTCTATTCTGCTTGAAAGCCTATCCAAAGAAGGAGAGATTTGGCAGAGGGTTGGCAAATAGGCTATCAAGCAGATAGAGAAAGAAAGAAAGAAAGAAAGAAAGAAAGAAAGAAAGAAAGAAAGAAAGAAAGAAAGAAAGAAAGAAATTGTTTTTATGTTTATTTAACAATCCGGTGGATCAAAGGAAGTTTCTGCTGAATTTGTGCATGTTGTTTTCAGGCATATTTCTTCTTGCTGGATGAGACAATTTACAGATTTTAATACTTATGTTGCTTTAAATATATTGAGATTGTTTTATTTCTAAAAACAATTTTGCAAAGTTTTTAAGTTACTCTATTAATTCTGCTTATTTAGATATTACATAAGGTCTAATACATACATTTACTGATGTTATTTATTCATTGAAGTGTTTATTAAAAACTATATTAAATAATTAAAGTTCAACTAGCTGTGACTTACCCTGCTACTTCCAGGTGTACTGGAATTCCACTGCCTGTTTATTGGAGGGTTATAGGGCCTTAAATTTAGCATCTCTGAATGATTCTGGAAAACTCTGCTCCTTCTCATTTTCTTGATGGCTATTAGTTGAAACTGTGCTAAAGTAACAGGCAGTCTTGTTATTTTATGAAAACAATCATACAGCTAGTTTGAAGTATTCCTTAGCATGTGTCCTCTTGATGTTTCCATTGAAGTTACAGGAAAATTGTATGAAAGCTCATATACTTTGTTAACACATAATATTTTTAAATACATGGAATTAAGCTGAGTAATACCAACATCATAGTGAGTCATTAACCATAATTTACCAACTATGTGACAGGATTTGCAATACCTAAACAAAATCAAAGTTCCTATAATGCATGAACTCATTTGTATAAGCCAGACAACTTTAAATTCCACCATAAGGCCAAATGTTTGTTAATGTAATTATTTGTTTCCTAAATTTTATAATGACTGACCTCCATCATCTCTGAGCAACTTACAAATAAAATATTTTTTAAAACTGAATAAGAACAAAAAATAATGAACAGTGGCAAAGATGACAAAAACAAGATGGATGGATGAATGGAAGGAAGGAAGGAAGGAAGGAAGGAAGGAAGGAAGGAAGGAAGGAAGGAAGGAGGGAAGGAAGGAAAGCAAATTAGGAGGTATTCATTTACTCTAACAAAAATGCCTGGCAGCAGGCCAAAGTCTTCAGTAAAATTGAAGCCTAGTAAAATGAAATAAAAGTGCTTCTCAATATGAACTGCTGACATAACTACCAAAGGCCTTTTTTATTTGCAAAATTTGTCAGAGTATACCATTCTTTTTTTGTAAAATTTATTTTGGTATTTTTTCCAGATCATTGCATTTTTGTGAAGAAATGATTTAATTGTTTTACCCCCGTCTCTTCGACATTCCTCTTATTCGTGTTCATCTTTCCTTGGTGATATTGTTCTGTCTCTGAAAAAGTCCATGGAAAAATAATTCATGACACTTTTCCTACAGATGTACCTGAAGCGTGAGAAGCCAGGAAGGCTACTGATCATGGAAAGACTTTATGAGGAAAATAATGTGTTCATATTTTCAGTCACTTAAGGACAAATTGAAAAAATAGCATCTGCATAATTTTGGAAAGAAAAATGGCCAGAATGGGAGGGAGATTTGTAACCTAACAAAAAGGTTTTCAAAGAAGGAATCCATTTTCAAGTTGCCCCATAACTGGCCATTTCTCTGTCCACCTCATTGCAAAAACTTCTCTTAACCCCCAGGCCCTCAATAACGAATATATTAAGCTATAGTCCTTGCACCATTATTTGAGCAACATGGCTTTACTAAGGTGAAAGATCCCACAAATATGTATTCAAGGAGATAACTAGAGTCATCTTACTGCTAAACGTCCAGACATCTGTATTTTATTTGTGGGATAGCTGAAATTGCAGATCTTGAAAAATCTGTAGGATTCAAAGCTTTCTTTCAAAAACTGTTTTGCATGGGGTTTTTTTTACTGTGCAATTTTAATTGTTAAGTCCTATTTTTATGGCTCTGGAAAACATGGAGTTCTTCTGTTCCAGATTATATGGTTGGTCACTAAATAGACACATTAAAATTGCATATTATACTTTGAGATTATAGACTGTACATTGCTACAGATAACATTCTAAGGGCACAATCCTATACTGAAGATAGGCTAGCTGAAAAGCTATACCAACTTTCTTTAACTATGCACCCACTGTAATGCCTATCACTTACAAAGGAAATGAATGATGGGACTTGTTGTACAATCCATCTCGAAAGTTCTAAATCAGGAATTATCCTCTAAAGACATATGTAATGTCTTTACTGGAATTTTTTCAGTTGAATTTTAATGTTGAAATTATTAGCTATTGTGAATATTATACATACAATAAAAAATAAAAACAAATAATTTTGAGGGAGAAGATGGGACTTTATTAAAACTGTATGGGGCAGATAAATCCAAACTAGGATCCATATTAGCACATAAGAAAGAGAATTCCCATCTCTGCTGATCGTGAAAAGGGATTGCAAATGTGGTTGATATAAGTGCTGTATGAAGTAGCTAAGTTGGAGTAAAGGATGCTGAATAATAAGGACAAATGAGAATAGGTAATTAATTCTGCCCAATCAGGTAGCATCCTTCCAGGTCTATTAAGGCAACTGGAAGGATGATTTAATTATCTAAGACAGGGGTCTTCAAACTTGGCCCTTTTATGACTTGTGGACTTCAACGCCCAGAATTCCTCAGCCTTTCCCAAAATTTCAGTGTGTTGTTTTCATTATTCATTGGTGTTCATGTTGTTGTTTGGATTTTTAAGTGTGTGTGTAAATTACATTAAAAATAGGCCTGATGGCAAAACCTTTAGGAACTCCTGCTCTAACATATACTTGCCTTGAGATCATCCTAGGGTGATTAAGCAGATAAAAATGTTCCATTTTCTATCTAGGCTAGAACTTATATTTCAAATTCTGTACTCTGATTTCTATGTTTAGATATTAGTTAGATGCCCCAAAATATGCTTGCTATTTGTTTGGCCCTGTACCTGAATTATTATAATGTTTTCACCTTTTATTTTATCAAGTCTTAAGAGTTCCCTCTTCTGCCAGAGCTTTTAATAGAAGTGCAAACATGTGATGCTTGAAATCCCAATCTTGTTTTAGTCCATAACCTAGTGCAATGAACCAATGAATATTAGATTAACTGTGTGCATCTGTAGTTGTCTTGTTGTATCTCCTAGGTCTTTTCTTTAACTGCTTTTTCCTCTATATAAATCTACAGTTCATATCTTTAGAAGGTTTTGCATGTTCATGGAAGCCACCATACCCATGTGGAATGCAGGGTTATGCTTCTTCTCTTTCCACGTTTTGAGAGTATTGTGTTGTAAAAGTGGCTATGACAAGAAAAAAAGGCCTTAATTATGAATAGATATAAATCTTTTGAATTTGATTTCTCAAAGTCTTGCTGGACTGTTGCGCTATGGTATCATCTATGTTATTTGTGTGAAATTCAAGTAATGTATTGAGGATATGCCTTTGTGGATAGCTATCATTAAAGTACCAGTATTACTTTGACTATATTCTATGGAAGTATTAATAACAACATTTTAATGTTTTTCAGATTGTTTTCCTTTCCCTTGTCCTACTTAGCACACAGACTGGCCTATAGAGACCTTTCTGCTGTTAAGTACTAGTGTATCTTCAGTTCTGGAGTTTATTTTACTAGGTTTACTGGTTATACTCATGGGAAGAAAGTTTTCAGACCCAAATATCTTTAAAGAACATGAAGATAAGCCAAAATTTCAATTTGCTATGTTCAGCAGCATTTCTTTCTCCGTTATTATGATGGAACAGTGTGATTTTGATAAATGACATGATTTTGCAAAATGAGTAATTCTCTGATCTTTATTTTTCACATAGACAGATCAGCATAATATATACTTTGATCACTTACAAAGTCTACATGTTTTGAATTACAACATCAGCTTGTTCTTTCAAAGTGCCATTTAACTTTATACAAGAAAAAATAGGTATTGTCCTTGAAAGTAATAAGATTTTTTTTTAAAATACTACATATACTAGAATATTGATCTTACTAATACTCAGCGTGCACTTCAATTTCATTGTCAGAAACCCTTGGATTCTTGATTATGTCACAAGGGAGTGTTGTCCAGCTCCAGTATGTAGTATGCATTGTCTTTCAGATATTCCTAAAGCAAGATGTGTATGCTATACATTTATATACAACAGTTGGTCAAGCACAGACATTGCAGTGTCATGCTTTCATTCAAAATCACGATACTACTCTTTTCCCTTACACATTACAGTCACATTTGGCTTCTAATACTCAGTATATTGTTTTGCAAATGCAAATAGTTGTTGCAAGGTGGCCTTCATGATGTAATGAAATGGAGTATATTGCACATATTTTTTTTTAAAAAAAGGGATTATCATTATCATAAATAGACAGACCAGTATATGACATTGAAAAAGAGGAAGCAAAATGGAAATAGTGCTCTTGCATAAAGATCAATTCGCTTTGCTGCTGACGGGATGACAGGTTTGGGAGGAGGAGGCTTCTTGTTGTTCTTTGTCTGAGACTTCCCAAGACCATTGTTGACTTCAATGGGTTTTCCATAACAGTCATAATTTGACAATTCAAAATCTCTTGGCAAGCTTCCAACAATGCTGAAATCATTGGATCTCAGATCAGACTTGGAGGTACAAACTTTTTTGCATCGAGTCTCCCCAACCTATAAAAACAGTGTAGTAGAGGTTGTGAGTTCACTACATATTTAGGACATATGAACATAAATTAAAATTCATTCAATGTGTGTCAGGTGTTAGATTTATGACTAATTTTAATTGAACTGGTATCTACTGTTACTAAGACTCTGTAATTATCTCAGTTATTGCTTTATTCTAAAGCAATAACTTCCATGTTTTCATTTTATTTGTTTCAGTCAATTATTGTAACTGAATTTTATATTGATTATAAAAATGTATATTTACAATAATAAAATAGATTATAACATAATAAAATGAAAACATTTAAGATATTACTATAAAACTGAAGTAATTCAATAACAATATCAATCCCAGGCATAGCTGTAGATACAACAAAATAAGAACTCTTAAGTCTCTAAGTACTATTGAATAATAACATTTATACTGCTTAGCAGAACGCTGTTAGAATCTGGCCCTGTCTAGCTTCAAGAAGTGCTGAGTGGGGGAGGTTATTCTATCTGTGGGAGACCATAAACTCAAAATATTGGTCCACACCCAAGCAAATTAACTTTCTACAAGCTGGGCTGCTTCTATATGGAGAAGGCAGTCCTAAACTAGCTGGAGGTGAAACCAAGTAGGGTTTTAAAGCTAAAAAAAAAAAAAAAAAAAATGATACTTCGAATGGTTCCTGGAAATGTGATATTAACCAATGCAGTACTCACAATGTAAGTGTAATATAACCAAAGTGGTTCTCACTTGCCACCATGTAGGCAGCTGCATTTTGAACTCTCCTGCCTCAGTCATCTTTAAATCAACAGATATAAGTCACAGACTTGCTTTTTCAGCTGGGATGCTACATCATTGTAAATTATAACTAGAACAGTGTTCTTGCATAAAGACTAATAGCCACATCACCTTCTTAGAATTTAATTTGTTTTATCCCTTTTAGACTTCCACATATTCCAAACATTGTGTCAAGACTTCCATGATATGGCTTGGCCCAGGTTTTAACGTACAGCTGATTACTAATGGTTATTTCATCCTGAAAAAAAGTATAAGCTCTCCCAATGGAATCGTGAAGATATTAAAAAGGTATGTAGTTGCTTGGATGAGTGAGAAATTGAATCTTTCACTAATTTGAATAGCCTATTAGAAAGGGAATCAAGTCAAGCAGTATATTCAACCCTTGTATGGGATTCAAAAGGATATAATACTAAATGCCAGTAAGAGGTCAAAAAAGACTAGAAAACGTACACTCCCCCATCTAGGTCCTGACACAGTTAATCTACCAGAGCAGCCAATGCCGTTTTAATTTTCACCAGAGCTCAATATTGTGTTTGAAAGGGGTTCCTCTTAGGGGACAGTTGAAGCCACTCTATCTCATCAACTTTTCCTAAAAAGGTAAAGTTATGATAGGTTGGTAGTTGTCTAAAGGTCTCTTTAACAGCTAATGTACCAAAGCCTCTTTAAAGGCACAACTCCTTTCCCCACAAAGGTATTGACTACTCCCCAAATCCAGCTATGTCTCACTCCTAAAGAATACAAAGGAAGAATAGGGGCATACACCTGACCCACAAGTAGCAAGCTCGTGCCAGAGACCGCTCTACTCACTTCATTAGAATCAACAGACTGAAAAGAATCCAGATGACACTACAAGACACCGTCCAGGACACTATTTCAGACCTTGCCCAAGAATCAAGACTGGCAAATTTGAACAATGTTATCAACCAAGGGTTCTTCAGGAGCAATACAGAAGTCAAGTTCCTGCTTAAAAAGGTTGAAGTAACATTAACCAAAACCACCACCGTTGATACAGAGTGAAGAAGCACAAACACTTCACTATCCTTACCACCACATTGAAGGATCAAACACTGAGTTCTTACTCAAATTGAAATTCACTTTTTGTGTCTCAGCTAGCATTGTTGGCACTGTTTATTCCTTGTTATCTCTTGAAACTCCTCAATAAACTAAAGAGTATCTTGAAATCTACAAACAGAAAGTGACTCTTAGGGGAAAGCTCATCAAGCACCCTTCTATGCTCCAACATTCAGTTTGTACTTGATGGAATAGCAATAGCAATAGTACTTAGACTTACATATCGCTTTACAGCCCTCTCTAAGCAGTTTACAAAGTCAGCATATTGCCCACCACAATCTGGGTCCTCATTTTACTGACCTTGGAAGGATGGAAGGCTGAGTCAACCTTGAGCCATTCAGAATCGAACTCCTGGAGTGAGCAGTAAGCTAGCTTGCAGCAAGTACTGCATTCTAACCACTGCTCCACCACGGCTCAACTGCTTTCTCATTCAGATGATATAACTTTTCTGAAGCAAAAACATGATCCAATATTTTCTATCTGCATGGATCACACTCATGGTTACCTGGGACAAGCTCACTGTTACACTGGAGACCATGACATTCTGGGACCTTCTTGACCCTGCCATAAAGACATGGAGACTATAATCCCCCAGCACTTACAGTAAAACTGAAGGAATTCCAACATTACCTCCAGCACAGACTGGGTTCCTACCAAAGATGAGTGCTACACTGACAGGATCTCCATCTTGTTTCTATAACATAACTTAAAATATTTCTCAATTAAATAATTTGTTTTTTTAGAATATCCTTTATAAACTAATATAAATTATATTATTAAATATGTTACATAAACTCTTTAAAAAATATCCAGCTCCATTCAGATTTCATCTAGCATAGTCTTCCAGCTGAATATATTTTCCTGGTTATCCTAAATCATCACTATCAAACATACAAGAGTTCTGTTAGCTTAAAGCTAATTAAATTGCATGTTAATAAAGTTTCATGTACTCAGGTCTGACTACAAATTATGTTTTTTTTTAATTGAAAGTTTTTGAATTTTACAAAGCAAATCCCTTCCCCAAACCCCCCACCCTCCCATACCCTCCCCCATCTCCCCAAACCTCCCATACCCTCCCTCAACCTTCCCAGAGCTGAGTACAGGCTTAATTAAAATTTTTCAAAGAAAATAAAAAATAAAAAAACTTAAAACACATATAAATCCTAAACAAATCTAAATACATTAAATTAAACAAAATATCTTCTCTAAAAGATAATAATTGCAAACATTAAACACACATTATAATATACTCTAAACCTTTTCTAATATTGTACTTATATTATTATCCATCATTCTATAAAGAATCCCCAAAAGACAAATTTAAACATTACTTTCTTTGAATATCTATACCTACAATATAAAATCTAATCTCCCTCTTTCTTTACTCTAGAAGACAAAAATAAGCATATAAACATTCATTATACCATCAAAACTGGATACCCATTTAAATAATTAAACTAAATACTTATATTTAAACTTCTTATCTAAAATTTTCATTCAATCTCCATGATCTTCTCTCCTATCAAAAAAAGGACTTAAAAAACATATAAATCCTAAACAAATCTAAATACGTTTAATTAAACAAATTAACTTCTCTTAAAAATAATAATAATAGAAAAAAATATCCATCATTTTATAATATACTCTAAACCTTTTCATATCATACTTATATTATTACCCCAAAACACATATTTAAACATTACTTAAGACATTAAAATTCCCTTATACCTGTTTAAATCTTTACCAATAACAAATTCCTCCACAATAAACACATTCCTTCTCTTATCCATAAGTCTCTTAAAGGTAATTCCAAAAAGTTTGTAAATCTTACTTCTCCCACAATTCAATAGTCTTCTGAGTACTTAAACTAAGTACTTAAACTTAAACTTGTTATCTAAAATTCATTCGATCTCCATAATCTTCTCTCCAATAGCCAGTTCCATCCACTATAAACACAATCCTTATCAGTCTCTCTTGTCCATAAACCTCGAAAAAAATGCTTTAAAATCTGCCCTTGAAGATAGCTCCCAAAAATTTGTGAGTCCTGGTTCTCCCACAAGCTCAGGAACCAATAGCTGTGAAACTTCCTTAACCTCCTTCTTCTGTTGGTCTTTCTCTTTACGTTTATATGTTGCACGAGTTGTCCTCTGCTCTTTCATCTCTACTTGTTGAGGCCCCTCAAACTGAAGTTTCCCAATTTTCATAAATGTAAGCACTTCAGACTGCAATTCTGCCTTTTTATCTTCCAAAGCTTTAAACGTGGTAGGTGGCGATGAGCATACCCCCAGAACCGAAGTATAAAAGTCTTTTGCTTTAGAAACACTATTAAGACTATAACGTATCCCCAGGTAACTCACCACCATTCCAGTCGGAACGTCCCATCTAAACAAAATTTGTCTCTTTTTAAGTTCGTCTGCTAAAAAAGCAAACTCCTTTCTTCTTCTTAAAATTTTAGATGGGATCTCCTTTAAAATTATAACATCTTGTGAAGCAATTTGAAACCTCTTCTTATAAAAAGCTTGTATAATTTCATTGCGCAGAGATCTTTTCCCAAAGTAAATTACCACATCTCTTGGCAAATTCTTTTGCTCTGCCACCACAGAGTTAACTCTAAATGTCTGTTCCATTTCACTAAGTATTTCCTCTTTTTCTCTATTCAAAATCACAGCAAAGTCCTTTGCAACCATCTCTCTCAGATCTCCTTGCACAGACTCACCCAAACCTCTGATTCTTAAGGCATATTCCATTTGTTTATATTGAAGCATAAGAATTTCATCTTGAAAATTTTTCATCTCTTTTTCCATACTTTCAAATTTTCCCTTCATCAATTCCACTTTTTCAACTACCTCTTCTACACGAGAATTCAACTTTTCAAGAACAGAGGCAACACCTTTTAAAGCCAAAACTATCTCTTGCCTCAAAGTCTTATTGTTTTCCTCTAAAATCTCTTTCATTTCTCCCCTAATTTGAAGTACAACGTCTCCCATCATATCTTGCAAATCCTTCACCATTGTTGACTGTGCCAAGGAAGAAGGTGAAGCTATTAATTTAGGTTGTTGCGCTGATGGTAACACCGAAGGAGAAGCCACTTTAAGAGCTGTAGGGATTACTGGACGCTTTGGAGCCATCTTAAAAAAATCTTTACTCCTTC